ACCATTCAAAATAACTGTTTTCTATTTTAACGTACTTTAAAATGGAATTTATTCCTGTGATGTGAAAGCTAAATTTTCAGCATCATTACTCCAGTCTTCAGTGTCACATGATCCTTCAGAAATCATTCTAATATAAAATTTCGTATTATTATCAATGTTGAAACCAGTTGTGCTGCTTAATATTTTTGTGGAAACTGTGATACATTTTTCCCAGGATTTGTTGATGAATAGAAAGTTCAAAATAACAGCATTTATTTGAAATAGAAATATTTTATAATATTATCAGTGTCTTTACTATAACTTTTTTTCAGATGCATCCTTGCTGAATAAAAGTATGAATTTATTTAAAAAATCTAACTGAACCCTTTTGAACGATAGTGTATTATTTTGTGAAATTCATTAGTTCTCAGTTCTCTATTCATTAGTCCTTTAGTACGTCATATTTACTTTGCCCTTGTCACAAAGTTTCCTGCATAGAGCATTTAATATGCATGTTTTGAGTGTATTATATAATAAGAAATTTTGTTTCCAATTCAATTCAGGCATTTGTTATGTAAACTCATTTTCATTCAGCTGCAGTAAGGCTGTAATGGCACCTTGGCATTATCTGTTCTCAGGATCCAAAATGAGGACACAGAAGAAGGACCCATAGGAGCCGTACAAATAGTTAGAGTTCATGTACAAGTGAATCAGATGAGAAAAAGCTACTATCTTATCTGAGACATTTGTATTTTCTTGTGGGTGAACATAACTTTATCTTATCAGTACTGATCATCTCGCTCCCTGAGCACATCTCTTAAAAGAAAACCTGTTATCTCGAAGCCATTGTTTAGCTATCTCACGATCCCTATGGAAACGTTGTTGTTTTCCTGTCAGATGGTGGCAGACAGCTCTCGGCATGAGGCGGTCATTCAGATGGACGGATGTTAGATCTTAAGCCTGTAAGGAGGCCAGATAAAGCAGATACAGCGGTCTAAAGTGATATTGTATGTTTTTGGAGTGGTCTTGTGAAATAATTATGCCCCCTTCAGACATTTAGTCTATTTTCATCCGACTCATTCGCTTATAGTATTATCTGTCCTGTAACTCTTCCTTCTTCTTGCATCACTCTTGCCGGTTGGTTTAGTTACTATGCAGCACCTCTCAAGAGGACATCATCAGTGAGAGGAAGTGACATGTTTATGCATTCATATAGAAGACAGTTTGCATTTCCCATATGAGGAATGTCATACACTAAAGTGACAGTTTACATTAAGGTCACATTATTTAACGTTAACATTAGCAAGCAATACATACAGTATGTTACAGTATTAATTTTTTTATAATCTATTAATCATGTTCAGTTCATTGTTAGTTCATGTTAGCTCGGGTCCATTAAATAATATTAACAGATGGCTTTTGATTGTAATAATGTATAGTAAATGTTGAAATTAACATTAAGATGAATAAATTCTTCAAGTTTTTCATTGTTAGTTCATGTTAACTAATGTTAACAAATGGAACCTCTTTTTAAAGTGTTACCAAAAAATATTTAGGCCTAAATTTAAGATTTATGTATTTGAATTGCATATAACAATTCCATTCGTTTAGATTATAGTTTTAAAAAGCTAATAAACTTAATGTGATGCATATTTTTAAGTCATACATAAATAAAACAGATAAAATACATTTCTGTACTCAAAAATCATGGCATAGTTTAGTAGTATTAACTTTTTGCATTTTGCATCTATTTGATTTCATTTCAATCATAAAATCATATTTTCAAAATGCATTTATTCAAAGTGCTTAGAATCAGCATAAATCTGTTTATTGTGAAACAATTGAATTTAGTTAAAAAGTATGAACATGGTTAAATATGGCTAGCTATGGAACAAGCATTTAGTTAAAATATATTAAATTGACTGAAACAAACTATATTTATTGATGATAAATATATAAATCAGATTATTTATTTAAAACACATACAGTTTATTAGTACATAAATCTAACCTGTTTCTTGTTTTCTTGTAAAATGTTAATTTTATATAGATAGTAATTTTATATGCAATTTAAAATACATATATTTACAATTTAGGGCTAGATATAGCAGGATAATATTTGATTGCAGTGTTCAAGCAATAGCAGCCTAAAATATCCACTCTCTTACACTAACTCTTCCTGAATTTTAATCTCCAGAATCCTCTGTGTAGTCGTTCATCCAGAGCTGCTGCTTTTCTTTGTTGAGTGGAGGATGTTTTAATTATCAGTGATACATTTGCATTTGCAAGAGACAAAAGCACTCTGCATTAGCACAGCTTGTCTTTCATTTCAGACATTATTCCCTAATGCCCTCTCAAACATTGTTTTAGCAGCACGTCTCCATCCCTGAAGAACATTACGATGCCTGTCGTGTCTCTTCTCTCTCTTTGGCTTCTTGTCAGGACAGAGGCAGCAGAGACATATCTCGTCACAGTTGATTGAATACTGCTTCCTTTTTCGCTGACTGATATTTGCGATTGGCTCCCCGACGGGTTTCTGTCATGGGTGTTAAATGAGCTTTCATGACAAACTAAATCAGATAAACTGCTTTGATTTATGACACAGGTTACTGCGCACTAACACCTCTGAAGTACAGCATTGAACCTTTATGTCAGTCATCATATGTCTTATAGGGCCGATGTTATGTTATTAGTCACCTTATGATGCTCAGCTCATGGTTCAAATTAAGGGGATGTGGTTAATTTTATAAGGGATCTGGTTTGTTCTACCATCTCTGGCTCTTATTTAATTACACCCTTTCCAGCAGGATGAGACTTTTTTTTTCCAGTTAAGATATGAGGTTGATTTTCTTTATGGAAATCAGATTGATAGTTTGTAGTGAGAAATTGGTGATTCAGAAATCACTGAAAAGACTGTAGTCTACAGATTCTGTCTTAAATGGTGTAGCTGTGTACTGCATAGTAGGTGTTGTTTGTGCTCATATATAGGGGTAAAGGTTTGAGTCTGGCCTTTTTTTATTTGCTCTAAATTAAATGAAAAAAAGCCTGTAAAATCATGATTTTAGCCTATTTGGTTTTTATGAAACAAAAATCTGTTTTGCCTGGTGTGTAGTAATTGCAATATCATGATTGGGGACAATACAATTTAGTCAATCAATACGTAAGTGAAAATTACAATATTTATTTTTGATTGTAAAATATTTTTATTTATTTTATTTTTGAAAATGATTATTTTGCAGCAATGGCTGAGTGTTGACTATCCTGCTCCTTACACCAGTATTGCCAAAATTAAAAAAAAACATGAACATGAAATATTGATTTAAATTTATCTGATATTATTAGCTTACTTGCCGATTACCTTGAGATATATTTCATTACGACATAGAAAACAATCTGCCTAGCAGCAACACATACACTGCTAAATATTATTTTTGTTATTGTTGTTTTTAAATACTATTATTTTAAATTACTGTTATTCAAATGTATTTATTTATTTATTATTTTATCGCATCCGAAATAAAAGTTTTTGTTTACATAATATATGTGTGTGTGCTGTGTATATTTATTATGTATATATAAATACACACACGCATGTATATATTTAAGAAAAATATGTTACGTTTATATATTAAATATATTTATATATTATATAAATTATATGAATATAAATATATACATGTAAATATGTTCAAAACATGCTGTATGTGTGTGTATTTATATATACATAATAAATATACATAATACACACACATATTATGTAAACAAAAAGTTTTATTTTGGATGGGATTAATCACGATTAATCGTTTGACAGCACTAATTTATATCTGATATCTCAAATGACTTTTCAATGAACTAGTTATCTAACATATTTAACTACAATGCTAATAACATATTTATTTTCTGTTTTAAGTGCTCTCTCATCCAGATTTTTCTGTGTTACTTTTTTTGTTGTTGTTTTTCAAGCAATGTTTTTCTATTCATGCTTTAACTGGAGACTCCTGAACTTCTAACCACTTATCAAAAGGTTTATAATCACTTTAAAATGAAAAATTATTATCTCAGTGGCAACTTTTACAACTTGAGATGAAGTTGAGAAATGGCACCAATTATCTATATAAATTTATGTTGATAGGAAAAGAAAGGGTGTGATAGAGTCATGAAAAGAGTCAGATCCTCAGCAAAAACTATGAGAACCAGAAGAGTCCTCTGCTCAGTCTGACTTGTGTTGCAGCCTGGAATTAAACCACACCATGCTGGTTTCATCTAGCCAGAGAAGAATTGGCCTCCCAGTTTTTTTTTGTTTTTTTTTCCATTTCTGTCTCCGATGGAGTTTTAGTTCCTCGCCACTGTCGCCTTTGGCTTGCCAAGCTGGGGACACTTCATTTTTGGCAATATTTTCGACTTGATAACACATAAACTATTTAAAGAGAAGTGAACTGAGCTGGACAATGATGTCACTGAATTAATGATGAACTGACTTTAACTGAAAAATTTACTGTTTATTATTGTCCTCTTGCATTATTGACACACTGTTTTCCAGTTTAACACTGTAAAGCTGCTTTGACACAATCTGTATTGTATTAAGCGCTATATAAATAAAGATGACTTGACTTGACATGAATGTATGACCACTTGCCAAATATAGAATTTAGCAGTCATTACACACAAATATTTGACGGTTCAATGCCACGATTGACCAAAGAGAAGCAAGTATTCCAGAGAGCCATGTAATAAGTGAAGATAATGATAGCCTATCATAAAGTTCATGGATAATAAAAAGCTCAACCTCAGCTCGAATAAAACACAAAGCTCCAGACAATTTCCTTTTGGTACCAATTATAGAGACACTGTGGTACTCTGCAATTTGTTGTACAATGCTTAGCATTTAAACTATACCAGCTTCAATTATGTAGAAAGTTATTTGCGTGAATATGTGTGTGATTTAGTGAATCAGCTATATGCTTATGAGAATGTGTTTTTCTGTCATAAACGAGAATATTCTTTTCTTTTCTCTTCCCACAGTGCAGTGTCTGGAGATGACTACTAAGAGGAAGATCATCGGCCGCCTGGTGCCCTGTCGATGCTTCCGCGGGGAGGAGGAGGTCATCTCAGTGCTGGATTATTCCCACTGTAGCCTGCAGCAGGTCCCTAAGGAGATCTTCAGCTTCGAGCGCACGCTAGAAGAGCTCTACCTTGACGCCAACCAGATTGAGGAGCTGCCTAAGGTAAGTTGTCAAGTGTCAGCTTAAACATGCATAATATCGGCCTAACAGTGGATACGTCAACTTCTGAACATCATCTTATACAGCAGTGTAACAGTACAGAAAAATAGTGCACTAAATGTGATTGTTTCCTTTTAAAGCACTAAAAGTGTCCCATAATTGAAGTTTATTAATATTATCATTATTTTCATTTGGTATTTCACATTGGTTAAGGTAAATCAGGCTTTGTCGAATGTATCTAGTAGCCAGAATATAACAGGACCATGGACAGCTCCCATATTGTGTGCAAAGCTGTATCTGAATTTGGTCTATAGCATTTGTTCTGATATACCCCTTAGATAAGTGCTTAAGTCATAAGTATTTGCTCGCTTTAACTCTTGAGGTGCCATTCTAAACCCATGGTAAACATAGTGCTATCTTGTTTCATGTTTAACACTGTTCATACAGTACTTGCCCTGGGCTAGTTATTTATCTTAGGAAGTCAGGTTTTCAGCAGCCATTACTCTAGTCTTCAGTGTCACATGATCCTTTAGAAATCATTCTAATATGCTGATTTGGTGCTCGAGAAATATGTGATATTATTATCAATGTTGCAAATGGTTTTGCTGCTTAATATTTTTGTAGAAACCATGATACATGTTTTAGGATTCTTCGATAAATTTTTGATAGAACAGTATTTATTTGAAATAGAAAACTTTTGTAACATTATGCACATCTTTACTGTACATTTTGAATGATTTAATGCATCCCTGCTGAATAAAAGTATTAATTTCTTTAAAAAAAGAAAAGATAGACATTCAACCTTACAGTGTATATATCAAGCCAAGGTTCTAGTTTCTGAGTACTAGGACAAAACAGGCTACAGAACTGAAATAAGTTATTTATCAATTAATTATTTTGGATTAATCTTTTAAACATAGTTACGGATCTAGTATTCTCTTCAGTGAATTAATTAATTGAGACTACAGGATGGTTTCAAACTGATTGTCAGCTCAAAAATACTAAACAGATTGTGTGATGGAGTTGACATGTCTGTGTATTTATTAAAGAAAATAAAATCAAATAGTACTGAATGAATTGGAAGTGAGAAGTAATGTGAGGTTGTGGGACATTTCCTTTTCTAATTTGTAAGTATTTTAAGAATTTTAACACAAGTTTATAAGTTCATGAGATCGATTGTAAACATTGATTGTATGAATATAGCATGGCACAATAAACTTTAAATAACTGCTTGTCCATCTGTGGGAATGCTGTCACTCTGGTTGTCCTAAGTTGCCTATAAAAAAGCAGGGTAACACAGAAATAAGAGAAGAGCTAAGTGACTTTCAAAATTACAAGTGTAAAATGTAGTTCCCTTTCAGTCGCTCACTCTCGACGTCACGTCGGAGGACCGACGAATTGGGAATTGGGATCTCGCTTAGAGAGACCAATCTACTTCGAGTGTAAACTAAACGAGCCAATGCACATTGGCATGCGATTATTGCATCCAGCTGCTGCTGATCACAGCGTGAGTATAAGTAGGCAGCAGATGAAGTGCATATTCAGCTTTTCGCTTCGGAGCCGAGCGGTTCTATCATTCTGCTCCTGACCAAGTTCTACAGTAGTACAAACTACAGTCAAGCACGCTCTTCGTGGGCTCTCGTGCTGGTGGACGGCGCTTCAGCGGCGGTGGTTTTCCCGTGTCGAGTGGGTTGCACACAACAGGCTGCACTACCCCTGTGTGTGTTGCAGACGGCCATCTCCCCTGTGCGCTTCAGCACACTAAAAGAGCAAATTCCATCTAAAAGAGCTTCACGGGTGGAACGTCTTTTTAAAGACGCGTCTTTTTAAAGATGTCGTACCATCCG